AGTGCCTGAGCATACACTTCCACTAGGGGTGTGCGAAGCAGGCTGTATTGGATTCGGATTCAGATTCACCTGAATCAGGGACAGTGATTCAATTAGTTGATTTGGATCACTGTCCCTGATTCAATTTGTCTGAATCTGAATCTGAAGATTTGATGCCGATTCAGAGAATCGGTGATTTGGACATAGACACAGCTTTAAAAGTTTTGTCTACATACTTTGAGGTAGCAGGCATGGCTCGTGATTGCTGCAATGATGGGGCACAGTGAACATCCCACAGGAATGTGCGGGGGGGGGGGGCGGCTCTCCATGTGCTCAGTGGCGAACCTGGAAATGCACCGGAAGTACTTCTGGTCCACTATCAGTTCTGCCAGGGAGTACGCAGCCCCCCCACCCCATGCCTCACCGGCTCAGTGATTGGCTGCAGGGGGATCCTGGGTACACCCCCTGACCCAGGAGGCACCAGTTGTCGAGCCAGAGGGGCATGGGGTGGGGGGAGGGGGCCCAGCACACTCTCCAGTGGACCTGGAAGTGGACCGGAAGTGCTTGTGGTCACTTCTGAGTCTGCTGCCAAGCACACTGGGGAGCCCCTCACGCTTCTGTGCGACACTCCATCTGCCCCATCATCACAGCATTCATGAGTCCCGGCTACTTAGAGGTATGCAGAAAAAACATTTAAAGCTGTCTCTATGTCCAAATCTCCAAATCTTTCCGAATCTCTCCGAATTGATTCAGAGGGTTCTGATTCAATTTGGAGAGATTAAAGGGTTCTCTGATTCAATTTGAATTTGGAGAGTTGGCCACTGAACCTCACATGGGACCAAAGTTTCACACAGCCCTAACTCCCACCCAGATACTGAGGAGAAACTAGATAACTTCCATGGACACTTTTAACAGGTAATGTTTCCCTTCCCTGAAATTAATTTGTATATAAAGCAAAAAGAGAGGAAAGAACATGGCATACACTTGGGAATTTCTTCTCTTCTTCCTCAATGCCCTCTACTTGCATTTTTTTTTGTCAGCAATTAGTCCTAGGGCTGAAGAACATATTCAAACAGGTCCATCTCCAACCCCTATGGTAACAGATAGCTGGCTTCTGTGAAGATATCAAACTGCTTCTGACTACTTTACTTATTCTGTGCCATCTCTCACTGCCATGGGTGGATCTAGGATTTTGAAAAGGGGGGTGAAGATGGTGTGGCTCATTACTGCATATAGCACAACAAACAGTTAAAGACAAACTAGATGCTTAACTAACTTGCTAGAGGCCTCACACTACAATTTAGGATCAAAGCAAAAACAAATATAACTTTATTGGAATGTTTACTAATCTCTTAGATAATATATTAAATTAAAAAAACACAAACTAGGCACAAATAGTCAAAAGATATGGTTTCACTAGTCCTGTAGTCATTATAGTTAAATGTACATCTCTTACTCAGATTCATAAAACAAAATCTACTTTTCCTGAGATCCTTGACAGTGCCTCCAATACTTCAGTGTCAGTTGTTTTTACATTTGAGTTAAAATTTTCACCTAGAACTTAAAACAACCTGCAGGATATGAAACAGAAGAGAGACTTTACCAGGAATGGCTAAAAGACAGCAATACTGCAGAAGAAAGGATAATTTAAATATTGAGGCATCAAGACCATTAAAAAGGATACAAGGTTGTTAACTCCTGTGAAGTGAAGAGAGATTAGAAGGAATCAGGTAGATTATAATGAGCCATGAAGTCAACTGATGCCTTCAGCACTGCCTGAATAGAAAGGCCACTGCCTCTCCTAGGAAGTTGGTTTTAAAGTTTAGGTGGAGAAGGAACAGGGGGGATAGGGGGGGTGAGGAGGGGAGCAGCAATTGCACAACTGCACCCCCCCATCTCTACCTGCACACTGCAATACTATTTTACCCTCATCCCTGGCTGCTACATTGCCTCCAGCTATGATACCAAGTATAGATTCTGATCCTTAGGCTCCAAATACACCTATAGCAATTACATCTTCAGTACCACAAAATCCCAATTACTTCTTACCACAAAAAAGAAAATCCTTCTTCCCCTCTGTTCAGCTGTGAAAAACCGAAGTTACATTAAAGCAACTATTCACTCAGGGCATATAATCCTGTGGCACATCCTTCACACAATGAGGATAACAGTGTTTTGATACATATACATCATAAACATAAATGAATCATAAGCAAAACAGCCAAAATACTCAGACAGGAAGGGTGGTAAAATACATGCAATTATGGCCCACTTAATTTGTTCTTCTGGTTCATCATTGGTTGATGGCAGAGGGCTCCTGCCTTAGAGGTTCAGAACTGCCATTTCCTTACTTCAGGTATTCAGAACAATTAGAACGAAATGAACATTTTCAGGTAGCCTCTATATCCTACAGACTGTCATGACAGCCAAAAAGCATAAATATTCACACTAACAACTATACATTACAGAGGTTTATAATGCCAGTTTAATAGAATGTAGATCCAATTCAGAGACAATGTTATTCTGCTGTTTCCCTTATGCACAGGAAGCACAGACTCAAGACTAAATTTTCAAATGCCAGTAGGAGATTGGCATCCATCCTGCATCTATATTTTGGCACCTATTAAAAAATTTCCCAATTTTCAGGATAGCTAAGCACCCAGCATTTCTATTGAAGCCGCCTTTTGAACATGAAGGCACTTTCTTTAGGTACTTAAATGATATAGTTGCCCAATTTCAGACATTCAGAATTGTGGAAATCCTTACTTGAGACCCAAAGGTACTAATTCCTTCATTTTTTGTTTTTGTTTTCATGAGATTGTGCCATAAAACTTTATTGGTTGCATGTTATACTGTCAGTACTGCTATTAGCTTCTGGAAAGTTCAGTTTGTACTTGTACTTCAAGAAAACTAGAACATGATTATATTGGAAATGAAGTCCAGTGACATGCCTGGAAATAGCCAGATGGTACAAAATCAAGTACTATTAAGTGATTCTGTTACTGCAGAATACTGCCCCAACTTCTGCAATGCAGTCACAAGGAGGCAACTGGGGGAAAAAAAAGCAGCAATAAAAGAAAGAAAAATGTCACAGAACTCCAGGGCTAAAATGGGAAGAACAATAAGAAACAAGGATAAAATCTTACCAGCCCTAATTAAATGCTACAGAACTTGCTGTTTGTATATGTACCATAATGGGAAAACTACTGAACTACCAATGAGCATATCAAGAAAGACATAAAAAGAGGGGGATAGGAAAAGAACCAGTACATAGTCAGGTAACAGAGAACAGTCTAAACTATCCTCTTTGGGACTCAAATGTCTCTTGGACTACCTATGGGCCACACTGTGCTATTTGTTTTTAAGCAGACACTGGTGTTGATGCAGGTCTAATATGGCATTAATAAAATATTAAATAAAGACTGTCTCACATGTTTTAGAGGTTGTGGTCTTTTAAAAAAGTCTATTACCTCATTCACTGTCTTCAGGGGGAAAAAAGAAGCTTGGGGCCTATGGTTGGTGCTAGAATTTAGGGTGCAGTGCCAAATTTTTCCTCCTCATAATTTTCATGATTGCTTCAGGAAATGTATATGTTTTCACATTTAAAAACTTTATGTTACGTTCTCCATATGCTAGTGACAAAGCATACATAGCCCCATGGCAATGACAGTCTCTCTATTAACATAGGAATCATAGGAAAGTGGAGCTGGAAGGGTCCTTTAGTCTAACCCCCTGCTGAAGGTAGGAGCATCCCTGACTAAACCACCTGAGCCAAGTGTCTGTTTAATCTGTTCTTGAAAACCTCCAAGGTTGTTTCTCTATGGAGTCTGTTGCAATGTTTGACCATCCTCATAGTCAGAAAGTTACCCCTAATTTCCAACCTAAATTTCCCCTATTGAAGCTTGAGACCAATGCTCCTAGTCCTGTCTTCCAACGTCACAGAGGAAAGCCCATCTCCATCCTCTCTGTAATTGCCTTTCAGGTATTTGAAGAAAGTTATCAAATCACCAGTCAGCCTTCTCTTCTCCAGACAAAATAACTGTAGGTTTTTTTGACCTTTCTTCATATGTCTTGCTTCCCAGACCCCTAATCATTTTTTCTGTGCTGTGCTAGGCTCTTTCCAACCTGTCCACATCTTCCTTGAAGTGTAGGGCCCAAAAGTAGACACAGTACTCCGGATGAGGCTTCACCAGTGCTGAACACAGTAGACAAATCACTTTTCTTTATTTGTGAGTGACAGTCCTGTTAATATAGCCCAATAGCTGTTGGCTTTTTTTGCAACAAGAGCACACTTTTGGCTCATACTCAGCCTATGGTCTAGTGAACTCCCAGGTCCTTCTCTGCAGTATGGCAGCCTAGCCAGTAATTCCTCAGTCTGTATTTGTGCATGCAATTATTCCATCCCAAATGCAGGACTGTTGATGTGTCCTTGTTGAATCTTGTTTGTTTGGTTATGCACCATTTCTCCAATCTATCCAGGTTATTCTAGATACTAGCCACAGCCTCCAGAAAAAACTGATATTCCACCCAACTTGGTGTCATCCACAAATTTGCAAAGTAGGTGCTCAACCCTATTGTCCAATCACTGAGCTGTTGAGCCACTGATCAATGATAATTACTCACTAAGTACAATGATCCGACTGGTTACATGTATTTTAATCTATTCTGTATTTCCGTAGTTTGTTAATGAGAATGTCCTGGGAGAAAGTGTCAAAAGCCTTGCTAAAGTCAAGGAATAACACATCCACTATTCTATCCCCATGCCTGTCAGGCATAACTTGCTCTTGGTGAATTCATCTGTTCCTGATCACCTTGTTCTTCTCCAGGTGCTTCCTAAAGAAAACACCTAGATTCCTTGATGACCTATTCCATGATCTTTCCAGGTATCAAGGTCAGGTTGACTGGTTTGTAATTCCCTGCATCCTCCTTCTTCCCTTTCTTAAAGATGGGTGCTATAGTTGCCCTTTTCACTCATCCCAGACCTCACCTGACCTCCATGAGTTTCCAAAGAGGATAGCCAATAGCACCAAAATTACCACAGCCAGTTCCTTCTGTACCTTAGGATGCATCCCATCTGGCCCTGCCAACTTGAAAGCCTCTAACTTCTCTAAGGAAGCCCTAACCTGTTCTGTTATTACTCTGGGCTATTTATCTCTTTCCCTATCTTTGCTGCCAACTGCACTTATCTGTTAGCTGCCCCCATTTGTGAAGACTGAAGTACAAAAGGCATTAAATACTTCAGCCTTCTCTGAATCATCCATAATAAAGTTGCCTTCTGTATTCTATAAAGGACCTATGAAAATGATCTTTGTGCTTGCTATAGATAGAAACGATAACAACTTAATATGTAAGCAATGTATGGAATATGTTTAGAGTATGAGGGGAAACTAAGAGTGTTTTATTTATCAAGAAATTAAATAAATGGTACTTTCCCCCCCAAATAACTCTATGTTAAATAGCTACTTTTCCAAAGATTTCAGAATGCATGATGCCCTTATGCTGAAAATGGATTTCTATTTTTTTTAAAGCAGCTTGCAGTTCATCTTAAAAGTATACATTTGGCTCCTAAAAAATTGCAGTTTAAAATTCAAAAGTGTTGAGCCCTCACCACTTCCCAATAATGCCAGATGAGTAAAGCTGTGTATTTTGTGCTTTTGACAATCAGCTGATTTCTTTAGGAATCGAAATCAGATCCTGGAAACTTAAATTTAAGTGCCGATCTTTTGAAATCTTGGTTTAATTTTTCTCAGGAGCTTTGAAAACCTCAGAGGAAAAGTCCCACTGAAATGAAAGGTATAATTTTTATATTATTATGTTTTTTGAACAGACAAAAATGACTTGCTGTGGTTGGTGCTACCTTCTAGAAATCAAAAGTGAGTTTCTTCTTTTTAGGGTATAAAGGTAAAATAAGATCTTGTCAACCAAAGATTCTCAGGAGGTTGTTTTCCAGTGGAGCTAGGGGAAGAGGAAAAATGCAAGGATTAGCAATATATGAATAATTTAGCCTGCACTTATTCTCCTATTCATCTCATAATCTAATTTATCATTTTAATGATAGTTTTATGAACCAGATTCCAGATAGAGAGATCTTGGGAACTTGTAGTTACCATGTTTTTATTATATATATATTTCAGTTTTGGGGTGTGGTTTGTTTTTTTTTTGTTTGGTTGTTTTCTTTTAAGGCAAGGTGTTTTTAGTACATTTTTGACAAACAAAAAAGTACATTCCTTATTAAGCACATGCATATTTCTTATTTTTTATTAAGGATATGTTTATAAACACATTAGAATAACAGTATGATGCAAACCAGATAGTTAGCCCAGAAAACTAAAGAGAAAGGAAAAGTGTTTTTACTATTAAAACAGGAAAGTGAAGAGACACATTTTCCCCATTTTTACACATACATTTGCAACCATATTGGTAAGATCTTCTCCAGTATAAATAAAAAAAAGCTTTGTACTTACCTATCAATTAAGAATAATGGAATGCCATAAGCTTGTATGTGCTACTGGTACCATAATTTGTTACTCCTTACCACAATAAATATATAGCTGATTAAAAATTCAGTATACCTTACATATATTAAATTCATATTATACTGTATATTGATTCAATTTACTCATCCTAGCAAGCTCACTGAATTCAAGGTAGGCACATTTTGCCCCTATTTATTAAAACAAAGATGCGTGAGGAGGAAGCGTTTTTCATTATCCAACAATTTGGATTTAAAATTTAAGTTTAATAGTTCTAGCTAGGTATATGAACAAAGAACATTAATACAAAGACCAAACTTGAAATTGTAATTCTATTTTTCTTGCAAAATATGGCATAAGCTTTCATGTCTAATGGCTTAGAAGGAGTTTTGAAGGAGTTTCAGACTTCTGCAGTGCTTTAAAGTTTATGACACGTAAGCCCCAACCCCAGAACAGATCTGTAAAAAGGCATATGCATATATATGTAGCCCAGGTGTACCCAGGGTATGTACTCCCCTTTCTGATTGAAGGGGTTTGGCAGCAGGCAGGGGTGCTCTGGGAGAGAATAGCAAGCTGAGCGCAGTCTCCCCACTCCCTATAGAGTCAGGCCAGGACAATATTAAACTATATACAAATTTATTAACATTTACAGGGAACCCTAAATGATAGCTGTTAATATAAAACCGATACAGCTATTTACATATAATATAGGACTAATAACTTTGATTCTCTACAATGATGGATGACCACAACTGAGATTCAGGTAAGTTATAAGTAAATACAGGTAAGTAATGGGGAGGGGTCCTAGCAGAACCTCAATGTAGATTTTACATTCTAATATTAGTTTTCTTACTGATACAGGAGCACACAATGCACAGGCTACAAGATCACAAAACATAAAATACAAGACCACAAAATATAAGACACAGTGTCACTAATTATAAGGCACATAAGCGTAGAAGTAACCTTAAACCATTAAAAAGGTCCCTAAGGCCCCACCACATTCCTAGGCCCTGGATGACCCGTAAGGGAAGATCTTATTGCCCCTTGCATCTCATACCAAGCCTCCTAGGCAGGCCACAAACTCAGAAGCGACCCTCCCTGGACCTCCTCTCCAGAAACCCCTTTTTAGCCAAGAAGGACTTTATCTCCCCTGTGGGAGCCCTATTCCCTAGCAGCTCACGAATCTGATGCCCAGGTGGGGGTCCATGTCCCCTCAGATGAGTGGATCCCTGTTTGGATAAGCCTCTGACTCTCCCTGGGCCACTCCCTGTTCAGAGCCTCAAGCACCGTCTCATGTTCTTGGGGGCTTTGGCTTTTGCTCAGGGTTGAAGGTCCAGACCACTTTGCATGGCTTCAGGGCTCAGTCCACTCCCAGATCCTCCATATAGCATCGGCTGCACTGGGTTCCTTGCCACGTGCCAGGAGACAGAACCTCGAGCTGCTGTGGATGGCTCCCAGATTCTCGCTGGCTCCGTGCACCCAGAGCCCTGGCTGCATGCCAGGGGTTGCAGACCCGAGCCTCTTACTCCCAGGGTCTGGCTCCGTGCTGTGTGCACTGAGTGGCTGGAGACCCAAGCTGTCTCACACAGCTCCTAGGGTCTCGCCCCATGCATCGCACTGTGTATCAACTGGGGCTGAAGCCATCTGCTGCTCCTGTCCAGTGAGAGGCGTCCGTAGGGGCTCTTAAGACCAGCAGCATCTGCTGGCTGGGCAGCTGTTCCTCAGCTCTTTTTAACCCCAACATGTCTGCTGCGTGCTGGGCGCACAGCTTCTTTTATTCTCTTTGGAGGCTCTTCCCCCCAAAGTCTGGCAGACCTGCAGAGTGCAGGCTTAAACCAGGTCCGGGGCTGTCTGCCTCACCCCAGATAGGGGCAGGACAAGCCCCTCTCTGCCATTACCTGATTGGTGGATGGGCTCCACCAATCATACTGGAGATTCTCCAAGCCTGGATGTCCAGGCTGTATCAGTAAGTCTGCCACACACACGTGCGTGCACGCGCGCACACACACACACATGTGCACACACACGCGCGTGCGCACACACACACACACATATATTTTTGACCAAGTTCAACTGAAAGCTCAGATTCTGTGTAAGCCTAACGGCCTGGGTATGCAGCACTGTCTGAAGGAATGATCCTAGGATATCTGCTAACTGATTTAGGTCACAGCTGTCATGTGCAGGGGCTGAGCAAAAGCCAATCTACCATGGATACTCCACTGTAGTCTTTAAAATAAGCTTGGAGGAGATATATTGTTTTAATGAAACTTAAATAGCCCTTCTACTAACCCTGTTCACTGAGGCAAGTTTCCCCTTTGGAAGATAAGTGGACAGAAAGCTGGTGAAGTCTACAGCTAAAACAGTATAGTAAAAAATAACAGAGAATGATAATATATTTCAGTTGGTATTAAGATTAAATCCATCTCTTGTAGGCACCTGAGTCCAAAATGGCTGTCTTCAGAATCTCTGCTCAGCTGTACCTGAACTCTGGAGACACCTAAATTCTCCCAAGGGATTCAGTTTTTGATATTAAAATCTTCCAAGTACATAAAGCTTTGCTGGTGGACATGCCCAGAAGCACTTCAGTCTCGACAGGGCTGAGCAGGTCAGCACCCAAGCTCAGTTGCAATACATGAAGTAGGCCTTTCTCTCCTTTGTCATGTTTTATATTAATGTTTAATACATTTATAATTAACATTTTATGTTAAACAGCATTTATTCATTGAAAATCACTGGATAATTGACTTCTTTGTAAAAAATATTTTCATAGTCATGGAAAACAGATTTGGGAAGTCACTCCCAAGTGAGTGGCCTGACCACCAGGCTAGAGTCATATGACTCCTATAACAGGGAACCAGAGGCTCTTGTTAAAGACTTTAAACAATGAGTGGCAGACCGAGTTTGCTGTTTGGGGCTGGCAGCTAGGCAAAGGCCAACTGCTAGAAAGTAAGCAGGCCAGAGGTAGCAAGGGTAGGAGCTACCACTTGAGGAGGGACTGTTTTGGAGCTAGTTGCTCGGCAGTAAGCAGCCAAGGGGCCAACTTCCAAGTAGGACAGAACTAAAAAACTGCAAGCAGCTGAGGTGAGCTGAGTTGCAGCGGAGGAGGGCAGGCTGGTCATCAGGCCAAAGTGGAAATCCCTGCCCATGGCTGGAGAGCTACCTGACAGGGAAGGTTGGGGCTTTAGGCACATAAACCCAGTGTCTGGGATTAAGCAGGAAATCTGGCCCTGCATGCTGCAGGGAGAGGGGTTCCTGGGGGAGATGCCTGCAGCAGACAGACTGGCAGGCACCTCATTGAGCTGCCAGGGGCTTGTGTTGAGGCAATGGCCCCATGTGAAATTTTAGTTGAAACAGTTTGGCTTGTGTTTATCTTCTGATTAGGTTTGATACTGGAGGACCAGGTTGCAGCTACAGGAGAGGGGTGGAAGCCATGGAGGGGTGACAGGTGTGGCACCCTGGAACAGGCTGCCTAGCCTTGAATTAGGGACCCAGAAGGCTCATGCAGGCTGAAGTTGGAAGAGGTAAAGCCAGGGAAAGGAGCCCAGCCCAGGTTCAGAGACCCAGAGAGGTAAGGGCTGGGACTGAGCTAAAGCAGCCCAGCCTAGGGTCAGGGACCCAGAAGGCTGAGGACCTAGGGACCAAGGCTGGACCAAGGCCAGCAGACAGCAGGCTATGGTAGTAAGGGCTAAAGCTATAACAGACATAAGCCAAGCTTGGGGAAAGGAGCCAAAGCCCAAGAAGGGCAGAAGCCAGACTAGGGTCAGAGCATGAAATATGGCCAAGGGCCTAGAGCACATGAAGCTGAAAATGGATGGAGCCCAGGAGCCAAGGTCCAGAGCAGTGGACCTGGAATGAGGTGCACAGCCAGAATAAAAGGCCAAGGCCAGGAAGACTGAGGCCTGGATAAAGGTGCAAGGCCTTAGGAACCAAAATCTATTTTGAGGTCGGGGCCCCCTCAAAATGAATGGAGTAAGATCTATGAGGCATGGGCATAGCTGCAGAAGAGGACAGAGGCCACCAATAGCCCATAAGATGACAACAGGACAGGAGGGCCAAAATGTAGTGTCAAGAGGCAAGGCAGAGCCTGACTGGGCTTGCTCTGGGACCCTGGGGGCAGCCTCCTAAAACTTTATAAGTTACATCAAGGTGTGGCAGATGAGGTAAAAAGGGAGGGTACCTGGAGTGGGGGCAGGAGTTGAGTGGCCACTAGGGACTGCCCCTAGAGCCTGATCTTGTCAAAGCTCCCTCTTTCTCTCTCTTTGATCCAGCACATCTTTAATTATCTCATGGAATATATACCAGCTTCATCATGCGTCCCCCCCTCACCCCCCCATACAAATTTATAGCATGATGAGGAAGGCATAGTCATAAGAGGTTGGAAAGCTGTGTTTAAATCCCTTCACATGGGAGGGAGAGTGATTCTGAGTCTCCACAACCTAGGTGAGTCCTGTAATGACTGAGCTATTGGAGAAAATGACAGGTCCTCCTCCTTCCTTTTTAAGAAGAACTGACCCTTGATTTCTTCAGAAAAAGAGTTCATCATAATCTTGAGTGAAAGCGGGGTTTCTCTGAAGCCCATAGAAAGGCACCTAAGCCCCAGAATGGGGCAGAGATTAACACTGCCAGGGAAGTATGGGGGTGTGGTCCAGGGTTTGAAATACGGGGGGATTTGGGGGGGGTTGAGCCCCCCCATAAGAGATTAGAGCCCCCAGCTTGCCCCATGCCTTTGTAATTAGCTCAGGCAGTGGCAATGGCTCCTTCCGGCTGCCACCGCTGCACACCCCTTCAAGAGCCAGTGTAAAATTTGAACCCTGGTGTGGTCCATGGTAGAGGCTGGCACACGATGGCAAAAGAGTGCCAATCCCTGCTCCAACTCAATGGGCTACCTGGACTTAGATGAATTTTAAACCTAGAGGTAGCTTCCCACTCAGTATGTTGCAGTTCCCATTCAGAGGTATCTAACTCCCTCTCCACTGCAGTGCAGTGTCTGACATAGGCCTTTTGGTTCCACTGTTGTGGACTGGTGCCTAAAACATAGGTGCAGCAATGCTGAGTTGGAGACCCTAAGTCCTTTTTTGGATCTAGCTTACTGTGACAAGATAGAATGATATCCAATTTCACCTGCTATTAGCTAAGTATATAATTTCATAAGCTTTCTGGCCAGAAGGTGCCATTAAATTATCCAGTCTTATCTCCTGTATATCATAAGCCATTTCATTTTACCCAGATACCCCTAAATTGAGCCACAAAACTTGAGTAGGCTAAAGCATTTCAACCCTCAGAAGGTTAAATGGTATGTGTGCCATACACAGAGCCTAAGGTCAAACCAAACCCAGAGGTTACTGAAATGGGAAGTGATTGATTATGTGAAATGCACCCTGATGGTCCTGGCAAGAAACCTACACCCCCTGTGGCAGAGGAAAGCTAAAACTCCCCAGTATCCAAACCAATCTGGAAAGAAAGATTCCTGCCTGCCCCCCAAATCTGGCTTTGGGTTTGACCCTGAGCATTTGAAATCCAGCCAAGCAAAGGCAGGAAGAGGACTATTCATACCACCTTGGCTCAGAGCACTTATCTGCCTTTCTTAGTGTCTCGTTCCTAGCTGTGGCTAATATTTCAGAGAAAAAGTAAAATAAAGAACATCTGGGCATGAGGGGGAAAAAATCCTGAATATAACAATGTAATACTTAAAATGCAACATTCTGCATTATTGGATAATTTGATAGATGATGAACATGTGAGATCCTGTGAGGTAAAAGGATTTCAAGCATTATTGCTTGGTTCAAATATGCAGTTAGGGATACGGAACGGTAAGATCATCTAATTGCATTTGTGCACTGATCGCAAACAGAATTTATACACCCAAATACAGCACGGAAATTTGGCTAGATACACTGTAGGGCCTTCTTACAAATGGAAGTATTAGGTCTCCTTGGGCACATCAACATGTGCTATTAAGGTGACACACTAAACTCTGGTGCAGTTGGTGCCAATGTTTATTGCTCCCGGGCACAGCATTTACACGTGTGCCTGGGATCTCAGGACACTGAGCCAGGGCAGAGCAGCCTTGGCTGGCAGGGGGCCCAGGGGGTCAGCCTCCCATCCTGGAGCTGCTCTGCCCTGGCTCAGCCTGCTGCAAGGAGCTGGCTGGTGCATGCGGGTGCTACAGGGCCAGCGAGCAGGCAGGGCTAGCCAGCAGGCAGTCCCCACACCATAGCACCCTTGTGCCCCCAACAGCCCCATTGCTGTCTACATGCGTGCTGTGGCAGGGTAAATGACTCCACCATAGGATAACACCTGTGTCTGGCAATACTGTCCTACAGAAGTTTACTCCAGCCAAATAGCACCACATGTAGACTGTGATGCTTTACTGCAGAGCTAATTATTCAACTCCACAGTAAAGGACACATGTAGATGCCCCCAGTTATTCTTGCAGTGAACATACTAGATGGACTAACTGTCTTGTCCATTATGGCAACTCCCATGGTCTTAAAAAGTATCTTAAATTTACACAGACCATTGAAAACTGAAGGATGCACAAGCATTTTAAAAACAGTATGAACAGCAGCATTCATACTGCAGCAGAGTAAAGCAGAAAGCCCGCAGGCCAGAGTAGGGTAACTCACTGTACAAATGTGGGACATATTCAGATTATTCAGACTCCAATATTTTCTTTTTAAGCATTTTAAATGTCAAGCCCATGTCTGATGATAATTTCTGCATGTGAACTAGTAAACAGGTGGACTGCTGTTTTCTCACATCTGCAAAAACCAGTCTGAAACAATGCCTCACTCTTCCCTTACCCACCATTCCAATAGTTGATCAGCCCATGTCAAAATTACCTATTTCCTCGCTAAGAATTTTAGCAGCTGAGAACAAAGTGTGATGGGTTGATTCCCCCATGGCGGGTACCAGAAGTTAGTCATGGCAAGGGAACAGAAGGAAGAAAAATAAAGAGAAAGAAAGGCGTAGAAACAGAGAAGAGATGCTGAAGGAAGAAAAGCAAAGGGCAGAAAATGTGTGATATTTTCCCACTGAGTGATACCAAATGCAACACTCAGGCACTTAAAAACAAATAATGCTAATGACTAAAATCTTATTTACTACATAAAAACCATATGCCTCTAGCCTTGATCTTTTTTTTTTTTTTGGTAAACTTCTCATTAATATTGGTGGGAGAAGGTTGCAGATTGGGGAAAGTGCACAATCTTAAACTGAACCATAGACCATAATTATTATTAGAATTTGGTACTGTTCACAGGGGGAATTCAGTTCTCCCAATAAGCGGGCTAAGAAAAAATACCATTTGAGGTAGAACGAATAACGTTAAAAGTAACACTTCAACAAGCAGTATTTAGCCGAGGAAATAAGTATACAATATGTGGTCAGAATTGTCTGGGAACTTTTAAGCATATAAAACAAGTACCTAAACTGAGATATAGTTAAGACATTAGGAGTAACTTCTCTGCTCTAGCAAAAAGTGTGATGGAATCTTTAATGGACAAGTCCCCTGCTTTATATATAACCTGTAAGACAGCACCTCCACCAATGCAGTGCCAGATAACACCCTGACGGGGCATTTGTCTCAGAGAAGAGTGATACCTACCTATTCATTAACAATACTTCTTGTCTTGCACTGGAAGGGTTTATGTATTGACCATTCTGGATACAGTTTAGTTTGTGACATTGGATAAGATCTTGGCCCAAAACGGTATGGCTGCAGACCATAAAGTAAGATGTCTGAAAACAGAGAGCAAAGGATATAAATTCTGGGAATCCACCTGACCAGTCTAGCATAGCAGAGTGTGTGTTTCCTGAATCACACTGAACAAGTATGTAAAATATCTGTTTCTCAATGTATCCAGCAGATGTGGTGCCAGAAATAATTTTGCCCTGATTTATTTTTGTAGCTTTCACTAGTTCCCTACACTAAACCTACAACCCTAAACTAATTGTAGGACCATTTATTTTTATGTCTACAAACAGTAGAATTACCCAAACGTTAAAAGCCTACATTCGTGTTCATATGTCCATAAAAGCACTGTCAGTAAGTCCGTTACATTTCAGATTTTAGTTTTCAAACAATGGCACTTTGGACAAATTCTCAAGCACAGTGTACTTACATGTGTGCCTCAACTTTTTTAACCATTTAGTCAGTACACTTTATATCAATTAGACACCATAAAATACAAAAATAAATTAAGCAGACATCTGGAAACCCTTTGTAACTGACTTCTGCTTATGAAAATGGCTGAACATAATTTTATCGTATGCATTAATTCAGTCATAGGCAGCAGTCAAAGGAATCAAATAACACGGTGTCACAAGATCCAAGTCTAGATTTCTCCTTGTGTGTTAAATTCCATACTTTATCTGTCAGTGCATACCAGTCATGGCTCTAAGTCTATAAAGTGGCATCAGAGTCTGCAGCAGGAGTAGTGGATGCAGCAGAATCTGGATGAAATATTTTAATGTTCACCTTTTAGAATGTCATTGTTCTATATGCCTAGTATCAAATTCCTTAGGTAGTTAATAGTAATAAGTCTAGCAATGCTACATAAGCTAACCTGAAGCAGTTCAACTGGAGCCATTGTAAAGGGAAGTTTGACCCTGTTTTGTCATCAGTAATCTGTAGAATGCCTAGATATGGTAACTATTAGGGGTGTGCAAAGCAGGCCCTATTCAATTTGGATTCGGATTCAGCCCAAATCAGGGACAGTAATTTGATCTGTTGATTTGGATCACTGTCCCTGATTCTATTTGGCCGGATTCAAATCTGACAATTCAGACACAGGCATGGCTTTAAAAGTTTTTTCTACATACCTTGAGTTAGCAGCTCATGAGCACTGTAATGCTGGGGTGGATAAAGTGTCCCACAGCAGCGTGGGAGGCTCTCCAGCATACTCGGCAGTGACCCTGGAAGTGGACTGGAAGTACTTTTGGTCCACTTCCGGGTCTGCTGGGGAGCATGCTGGGGGGGTCCCTCCATGCCTCTGCTGCCTGGCGATTGGCCACAGGGGAGTCCAGGTACCCCTCCAGACCCAGGAGGCGCTAGTCACTGAGCCG